GACTAAGTGCTTTTGAATTTTAAGCTTGCGAATGCCTAAGAATTTTCCAATTAATTACAAGTTATGAAAACATGAAGTTGGACATTAATCTATGTGATGAGATGCGGTAGTTGAGTTATTTGCTTACGATTAGATTTTGCTTGAGGACAAGCAAAAGTTCAAGTTTGGGGGTGTGTTGAGTGTAGATATTACACTCAACACGTTTACATTACGTGGATCTTTTGTTTAGATTTAATTATATTTGTGCTTTAATTAATTGATTTTGTGTTTTATAGGTGAAAAACGAGAATTAGGTGTCCATGAAGGAAAAAAGATCAAAAAGAAAGGAAAAAATTGCAAATAAGGAAACAAATCAAATTGGAAGAAGGAATCTCGCCACAGCTTTGACAGTGTCCACCCTTTCGAGCATATCTCTCTCATACCAACTCCGAATTAGGTTATTTTGACGACATTGGAAAGCTAATTTCAAGGGCTACAATTCTTATTTAAACAACATTACAAAATTCGAACTCCAACATGGCACAAATCGACGAACAAATCCTGATGGGGAAAAGTGGCGGAAATTGATTCCTATTTGGTTTCCACTACTTCCTTATCAAGAAAAGCTTGTAAAAGCAACAAGTCTCTACACCATAAGGACGAAATTTTACACCACAAAACACGAAGAACGAAGATCAACGAAGACTCAAGCATAGTTTTTCTTATTTATTTTATTTATTCTATTTTGTTTATCATAAGAATTACGAGTAGCTTAGTTTTTATTCTAAGATTTTATTTGAACCCTATGTGGTGATTCGAACCTATTTTTCTAATATTATGCAAGTTTAAATTCCATGATTATTTCTTCTATTTGATCTTATTTAGCGCATGAACCTAGCTAATTTATGTTGCTATGTGTTATTGTTAGAATTGATTGACAGATCGTTTTAATAATTAGAACATGGATAGAAGAGCCTTCGAGTAGTTTTCACCGGATGAGTGTGTCAATTGCATGTATTATCGTAGACATACAGATAATACCTTAGGTAGCCGTTTACGAGATTTGTTAGTTAATGTTTTATTCATAATTGGTTTGCATAGACATATAGTGAATCGGTTATAAATAATAGACTCATAATACACGCGACAGCGGGTTATGAGTAATTGAGTGTCTCGGTTTAATAATCAGGAATCGTAACTTGCATGATTGAGGTTAATTGGGTGAAGAATTATCGCATAGGGGGAAGATAAAATCCTAGATCCGTTTTTATTTATATATTATTGTGTTTATTTGCTTTTATAATTAGTTTAATTATTTAGTTGATTATATTTGACAACCTTGCGTAGGCTGGATAAACATCATAATTGTTAGAATTTGGTACTTAGAATTAGGTAATTTGAGTATTCTCTGTGGCATCGACATCCGACTCTTACGAGTCCACTTTTACTACTTGTTTGCGATACGTGCACTTGCGTGTTAGATATTTAGCCCAACACCTTACCAAATACAATTCAATTTTTATATTGTGCTAAATAGGGGTGAGTTCGGGACGGGATTTCGGGAATTCGGAATTTTCGGGATCGGAATTTCGGGATTCGGGATAGAAATTTTCAATCCCAATCCCGTCCCAAACTATTAATCCCGATTATATCGGTTCCCTAAATATTTCGGGATCGGATTGCGATCGGAAATCCCATATTTTGCCTTAACTAGACAACGGGATCGGGGGCGATAGTCAAATCCA